ACCCCTATACCCTAAATTTCAGACTCGGGGCAGACCTAGTGTAGCCGCCAACCCCGAACAGCAACAGACAGACAGACAGACAAACGACAGTCACAAATATATATATAGATTATTTGATTTAATTGAAGGGGGTTGGATGGCCGAATGGTTAGCACGTGCACGCTCTATAATACGGTCTGTCATTGAGTCAACTGTTGTGGTTTCGATTCCCCGGTTGTACGTGACAAGGATTAGGGTCGCCTGTCCAACCTCGTGTGTTTTCTCCGGGCCTCCGGTTTCCTCTCACTGCTAAAGACCCCTACGCGCAAGCGAATCATTGAAATAAAAATTGAACCATGTGTTAACCCCGAAATGACCTAGTTTGTGTCGAGTGGACGTTAAACCCCATCTCTCTCTCTCTCTCTCTCTCTCTCTTTCTACGGTGTATTTTCTACGGAAACATCGACGTGTTTGTAATGGATATTTGACGATATATTCACCCCCCATGTAGATTTATGTAGTTTTAACAATAGACTGAATATAATCCAAGAGATATAATCAGTAAATCGAGGATATAAAATATCAAATAACAACTCATAAACTAAATGAACGCTTTGTTAGTCAAGCCAAACAATCGACCTCTGATCTAGTGTTTTATAGCCTTCATTATTTATAACTAGACTCTACGCGGATATTGGAAAACATTTATTAAATCTTGAGATTAAATAAAAAAGCACAACACAATTTATATAGAAAACTACGGGGCGCCTTAAAGATACTTTATGGACGATTAGAAAAAGAGCTGACATTTCTCACTATAATTGTTAAAAACTAGATAATGTAAAAGGGAATTTGATGACAATTGTAGTCAAATTGATCAAATCTGAGCCGAGAATTTAACGATTGAATTTTGGGATTGCCTCGATTTTCATTACTAAAGTCTGTACGATAAAAAACATAGTCTCGACTATCCATTTTTTGATTTAATCATGAATGAGCGCTGAGCAGCAAATATCGCAGGCTAGCAATGACATCGTGAGTTGATTATGTTCTGGATAAGTTAATTAATGTCTAATTAGTAATTTATCAGGCCTAAAGTGTACGATTCCACAATAATTTTATAATTATTTCGTTAAAACATACATTATGCAAGAGTTAAATCTGTCTATTACAGGCCTTTCTTTGGGCCTGAAATTTTATCTAAACTATTAATTAGACATTTATTAACATGAAAAGACTTTAATCAACTCTCGATGTCATCTTATGAGTAGGATTTTTACTAGATTCGAATCCGATTTAGTGCTCAACGCTTTTTGATGATTTACACGAAAAAGGGATAGTAGAGACTGTGTTTTTATCGTATTGACTTTAGTAATGATGATCGAGGCTAGGCCTAAAATTCAAAAGCTAATATCTCGGTTCCGATTCGAGCAATTTAACAGAAATTTTCAGCATATTTATCTTTTTTTTTATTTTTATAGTGAGAACTTCCAGCTCTTTATCTAATCGGGGGTTGGATGGCCGAATGGTTAGCACATGCGCCCTGTACCATAAGGCCTGTCATTGAGTCAACTGGCGTGGTTTCAAATCCCTGGTTGTATGTGAGAAGAAGTAGGGTCGCCTGTCCAACCTCGTGGGTTTTCTCCAGGTCTTCCGGTTTCCTCCCACTGCTAAAGACCCCTACGCGCAAGCGAATTATTGAAATAAAATTAAAAACCATATGTTAGTCCCAAAATGACCTAGTTTGTGTCGAGTGGACGTTAAACCCCATCTCTCTCTCTCTCTCTCTCTCTCTCTAACTCTAATCTTCCATAAAGTATCTTTAAACGAATTAACGTTTCGTATTAACGAAATAATTATATAAGCGTGGAATCGTACACTTAAATGGTTCCGTAGAAAAACAATCACTGGTTTCTTGTACATATAGCACGACGTTTCGGCTAGTGTTCTCGTATTGTTTTCAATCACAGATGTCGTGCTATACATATATCATGTGTATCAACCAGTGCTTTACATATAAATTGTGCTGTATTTTTTATTGTGTCTGATTGATAGCGCTCTGAGGGAGCCTCGGTGAAGACGTTGGCTCGCTAACCTGGAGGTCTTGGGTTTGCTTCAGGTATTCGCCGAGAAAGTTCATCGGAATTTTCTGGCGTTGTTTCACCTTATAAGTGGTGCAGAACAGAGGACCTGTTTTTATAAATAATAATAATAATAATATATATTGTTTATAGACCGTTACACACAAATTGTCTCAACCGTCTTTGCATGGGCGTATTACACATTGTATATACATAATAATAAATAAATAAAAACTATCAATAACTCATAAAACATCTCAATTAAAGATATACAAATGTATGTCTATAATAATATTAGTTTGACTATATATATAGTATTATTGCTTAATTGAATAATGTTTTGAGGTTGGATTTAAACAGGCTGAATTTGGTGAGTGATCTAAGTCTTAGTGGCAGCTCATTCCAGAGAGTAGGCGCGGCACGACTGAAGGCGCGATCGCCATACAACTCACTGGTTTGTTTTCCATGTGTTTTGTGGGAAGGGGGTCGCAACTTCACCCCATCACTGCTTCTAGTCCGATAAAGATGGAACTTGAATACTAATCCTATTGCACCTAATCGATAAACAGGGCCGGCGGAAGCAATTCTTGATTGGGGGGGGCTTCCATCCTAGGTCCTTATAGGCAAGGGTCCAGGGGCCGCAATAACCTGGAGAAAAGAGTACTTGGGGCCAAATTATTGGGGGGGGGAGTAAGCCCCCCCCCCCTAGCCCCCCTACCCCCAATCCACCGGGCCTGGATAAAGAACGCTCGAGGATTTATTGGCTCGCTAACCTGGAAGTCTTGGGCTTGCTCCACGTGTTGGCCGAGATAGTCAAATGTTTCCGGATATCACCCTGTATGGCGTATGCCCGTCTTCATTAGCCCAGTGGGTGCGGAACAGAAGGACATTAAACCTCTTTTCATTTCATTTCTGTTACTTGTTCGTATCTATACAGTTAGTAAATATTCGTGGTAAGAATATGAGCTTGGTTTGATATCAGTGTAAATTAGCGATCAAATCGTATAATAATGAAATTTTAATGAAGAAATTGATCAAATAGCTGTGATCACGCAGCCGTGTATTTAAAGTTGGTCTATTAGTTGAAAATACGCAGCCAGGGAGTAATTATCTATATAGAAACTATTGATTATAGAAACTCTACACAAACTTATAAATATTTATTATCTCATTATTAGTGGGGTAGGGAGGGGGCTGGTCCGAATGTGTATGTGTGTGGCGGTGGGTTAACGCGTGTGCGTTGGGTCATAAGGTCTTTCATTGAGTCAACTGGCGTGGTTTCGATTCCTCGGTTGTACGTGACAAGGAGTGGGGTCGCCTGTCCAAGCTCGTGGGTTTTCTTCTGGTCCTCCGGTTTCCTCCCACTGCTAAATACCGCTACTCACAAGCGAATTATTAAAGTAAAATTGAACCGACGTCTTACTCACTTAGGGGCGTTGAATGGTCGAATGTTCGAATGGTTAGCACGTGCGTGCTGTATTATAAGGTCTGTCATTCAATCAACTGGCGTGGTTTCGATTTCCCGGTTGTACGTGACAAGGAGTAGGGTCGCCTGTCCAACCTCGTGGGTTTTCTCCGGGTTCTCCGGTTTCCTCCCACTGCCAAAGACCCCTACGCGCGAGCTAATTATTGAAATAAAAGTAAAAAATACAACATATGTTAGTCCCGAAATGACCTAGTTAGTTTCCATCTCTCTCTCGGGACTGTACAGCGCAGTGGACGCTTACGGATAGCCCCCGTAATTCTGCGTATTATGTCTTGTCCATATATTTGTTTTTGTGTAAATTATGTGTGGCGCAATCCCCCTGCACTTATAAGACATTTTGATTCTTAACTTCTTGTGCGATTTTGGTTCTCCTGGACAATTTGGCAAAACCCAGACACGATCAGCAGTCATCATACACTTGCTGACATATATAATGAAATAATTAAATGTTTAAGTTGAAACTATAAAGGACGATAATAGAAACAAATTGTCAATACGTTCCTGTAAAACAGGATGAACGTTAATAGCTTTGTGCTACAATTATCACTAACGATAAGAGAAGACATTTAATCTGAACAGACAATTTTAAAACTCATTCGTTCGGCCATTGATTTTATCGATTGGAATGGCAGTTATGTTATTTCTTCTTCTCTCTTGTTCATGTTTGTTTACTGTCTTAAAGTGTTTCTTAATATAAAATTCATGAAACATGTCGGGTCTATTGATGATTGAGAAATCTGTCCACGAATCTTTCAAAAGGAATTTCTATAATGTAACCTACAATTATTCCAAGAGAACAAACTTGTGTGAAATTTTGGGGAGGGGCGGGGGTGGTGGATGGCCGAATGGTTAGCACGTGCGCGCTGTATCATAAGGTATGTCATTAAGTCAACTGGCGTGGATTCGATTCCCCGGTTGTATGTGACAAGGAGTGGGGGTGCGCCTGTCCAACCTCGCGGGTTTCCTTCCCCTGCAACCCTACGGGCAAGCGAATTATTGAAATAAAATTTAACCATATATGTTAGTCCCGAAATGACCTAATTTGTGTCGAGTTCACGTAAAACTCTCTCTCTCTCTCTCTCTCTCTCTCTCTCTCCCTCTCTCTCTCTCTCTCTCATTATTAACTTAAATACCTCCTTAGGTACCATGCTGAAAACTTATATAGCAATAGTCACCTTATGCATCGCTATAGGATCGGGGTGAACCGCCTGGGGCTACCATGCTGAAAACTTATATAGCAATAGTCACCTTATGCATCGCTTTAAGATCGGGGTGAACCGCCCGGGGCTACGTGTTTTTAATTGATATTATAAAGTTACACTGGGCTACTAAAGATTGATTGATAATCATATTAATATTTCAGGTATTTGATATACCTGTGATATATATATATATATATTGGTGTATATTGTTTTCAGGTTGTTAAGGTAAATGAGAGGACATTGCCTGGAATGACGTAACCATCATGGGATGTTGTGCGGCTTACGGCAATAGAGTAGAACCATTAGAGGTAAGAGTAATAGAGAGAGAGAGAGAGAGAGAGAGAGAGATGGGGTTTAACGTCCACTCGACACAAACCAGGCAATTTCGGGACTAGCATATGGTTTAATTTTATTTCAATAATCCACTTGCTCGTAGGGGTCTTTAGCAGTGGGAGGAAACCGGAGGACCCGGAGAAAACCCCCGAGGTTGGACAGGCGACCCTACTCCTTATCATGTACAACCGGGAAATCGAAACCACGCCAGTTGACTCAGTGACAGACCTTATGATACAGCGCGCACGTGCTAACCATTCGGCCATCCAACCCCCCCGGTAAGACTAATAAGTTTGAAATATGGGATTTTCAGTGGGTGGAAATGCCACTATCTGGGCAAAATTCTTCTAAATAGAAAATCCGGCAGATGACCCCACCCCTTGTCACGTACAAGCATGGGATCGAACTCATGACATGCATAAATAACAGGTTTTATGTTCCGCAGCACATGCGTTGAACTAAACCACTAGGTACCGATGGGCGATGGCTACGAAATAACCGTTATACAAAGAGAGTCTTTGTCATGTGGAGAGTTGTGGTGGCTCTGAGTTGGCCGAGACATTTCCTCCAGATTTCCCGGCGTGGTTTCCCCTTGTCAGTGGTGCAGGACAGACTGCCTGACAAGGGCAGTGTCTAGTCGTTCGAAAACCCAATGTCCCGTGTTCACATTGGCGTGCACGTAAAAAGAAACAGAGAGAGAGAGAGAGAGAAAGAGAGAGAGAGAGAGAGAGGAATGGGGTTTAACGTCCACTCAGATTGTGAAAGTCTGAGATTCTTTAATGTTTACTGCTATAATGTGTCTTCACTGTACCTGGGTCATTTTGAGACTGACATGTGGTTATACATCTACTGTAACATGCACACGAGGATTGTGTACGGACAGTGATCTCTTTCCTAATTCCAACTGTCAATGAGTCTTTAACGTGCACACCAAAGTGCCGAGGGGTGGATCCCGGGTTTTTACCAAGACAAATTTTTCTTTTATCCGTTAGAACTCACCACCTGGTTTGAATAAATGTTGCGAAATAAAATGAAATGGGGTTTAATGTCATAGTGGTCTGCTCCTGCTGGGCTAATGAAGACAGACATACGCCATGCAGTGTGCTTTGAGGGAAATGTTGCCCGGACAGCGGCGCTACGGCCTACTCTTATATCGAATTACAACTGCCATACATGCACGTCAATGTGTACACAGGACCTCGGTTTTCGTACCATCCGAACGACTAGACAACTGTCCCTTGCCAGGCCCCCTCTCCTGCGCCATTGACATGGTATAACCACGCCGGGAAATCCAGAAGAACATTCTCCACCAACGCAGGGATCGAAAATGGGACGACGTCTTAACCGCTGAGCCACCAAACGTTCCAACGGACAGTGTTAATGATTGATGATAAGGGTGTGAATGACCTCGTGTTGTTGTTGTTTATTACAAAGTTAACGTTACGTGTAATACATATTACATGATATCATGGACAGGTTGATTTATATAAAATTATTTACATGAAGGAGTAACAAAATACCCCATAAAAACCATAAAAGTTCTTGTATAAAAAAAAAATCACTTTGAAAAACACAGTGTTAAAATTCGTGGGTTATCTTCTCCTTCCGTCATCATAAACATGTAGTTCAAAAATCATTAATGTGGATAAAAAAAAACCTTGTTCGTTCGTGGGATTTAACGTCCGCTTCCACCTGGGGTGATATCGCAGAAAAGTGTTTCTTAAGAAACTTGCCAGAAGAATCCCCAAAAATAGGATTGGTCCAGCTTTTGGAGAAAAAAAAATAAATAAAGCCGTTCGTTCCTGGAGTTGTACGTCCACTTCCACGTGGGGTGATATCACACACATGACCCCCCCCCCCCTCCCAAAAAGAAAACAAAAAAAAAAACCCCAAAAAAACTCTAACTGCTTTTATAGGGTAGGATATAAACGGTCAATATTTCACTTTGATTACGTCATTACGACGACAATCAATGGCGGTTGTTTTGACAGGGACTACAACTCTAATTGAACATCACTAACTATCCACTAATACACCAGTCACACGTTCTACTTCCGTTGTTTTCAAAAATATAAGTATGAGTCTAACTACGCCATTATTAACACCACAAGAAGAGCGGGTAAAATTAGTCATTTAAACAGATTTAGAAATAGTTACGGATTTAATTAGAAGAGCTATAACTAACTAATCTTAAAAGAAATGAAATGGCCTAAATGCTCTCCTTTTTCTGAGCGGGAGGTGGGGGTCATGGTGGCTCAGCGAGTAAGACGTTGGATCTCTAACCGGGAGGTCTCATGTTCGATGGGGATTTTCCAGCGTGTCTCCCTATTCTCAATATTGCAGGAAAGAGGGCCTGATAAGAGAAATGAAATGAAATGGAGTTTAACGTCCTACTGTTCTGCTCCTAACCTGGGCTAATGAAGACGGACCTGATAAGAGAAATGTATAGTCGTTCGTATGGGACAAAAACCTATGCACTGCTTACATTGGCGTGAACGTAAAAGATCCCTTGGTAGTTGGAATGTCCGAGCAAAATTTTCCTATAGCACACTGTATGGCGTATACCCGTCTTTATTAGCCCAGTCGATGCAGAACAGTAGGACATTAAACATCCTGCATCGACAACTAGGAGAAGACACGCTGAAACATCCCGAGGTACACACTGTCAGTGGTCGGAGGGATCCGGTCATCCAATGTCAGTGGTCAGAGGGGTCCAGTTCATCCAATGTCAGTGGTCAGAGGGGTCCAGTTCATCCAATGTCAGTGGTCAGAGGGGTCCAGTTCATCCAATGTCAGAGGGGTCCAGTTCATCCAATGTCAGTGGTCAGAGGGGTCCAGTTCATCCAATGTCAGTGGTCAGAGGGGTCCAGTTCATCCAATGATGCGAAAGTCCTCGGCTTTCTCAGTCTGGTTGGGCGAGTGGTAGAAACAGGACGAGAAAATGACGTCACGTGTATATCATTTAAAAATCACGTGATAATTGAAAACCGAAATGAGTAGGTCACTTCGTTTATCACATTTCATTTCATTAAATTTCCATCAAATGGTACAAAAAAAAAAACCCACATTGTTAGCACTGCCGGATTTGCCTATAGGCTTGATAGACTGAAGATTAGGGCCTCATGATCTAGGGACTTCCGGTCATGGTGTATAATATTTAGGACACTGTCATATGCCTTTCGGGAGCCACGGTGGCTAGGTGGTTAAGACGCTGGTTCGCTAGCCTGGATTTTCCGACGTGGTTTCCGCTTGTCAGTGGTGCAGAACGGAAGGCCTGACAAGGACAGCTGTCTAGTCCTTCGGATGAGACGAAAAAACGAGGTCCCGTGTATACATTAGAATGCACGTAAAAGATCCCTTGGCAGTTGGAATTCGATATAAGAGTAGGCGATAGTGCCGCCGCCCGGGCAAAATTTCCCTCATAGCACACTGTATGGCGTATGCCCGTCTTCATTAGCCCAGTATAGGAGCAGAACAGTAGGACGTTAAACCCCATTTCATTTCATTTCATTTCATATGCCTTTCTTATACTCACTGTAGTCTTAAAGGTACCTTCCCGTGTGCAAACTGGGTGATTTGATGATATATTTGGACCAAAAACATATTCAAACTAATTAATCTATCAAAATATTTTTTCGTCAACCCCTTCTCAAAACATTGTATTCGCCAGGGAATACCCCTGCTATAAAAATATATTAAAAGAAGTCATGTTTGTGTCACATGACTTGGCTGACGCGGTACCTAGCAACGGACGCAAAGCCAGGGGAGAATTCAATGCATATACAATACGATGTTGTTTTTAATCATAAATAACGAATCCTATAATTAAGTTCTCGGATTATCCACTGCCCACGTCTTCTTCCATGGTTTTTATCTCAGAAACTGTTGTACGTTTAAGCTCACCACCAAGTTTATCAACATATACATCAAGCGTTCACTAGCGCTGAGAGATCAGACAATCTTCGCATACAACCTTTGATGTCACTCAAGCAGACATCCCGAAATGCCGGGTAATATTTTCTAGTAAGATTAAATGTATCTACTTTCCATATATACCAAATTTGCCATACTCAACTTTTGCTTAATTGTATTTAAAACATACTTTCATCTTCCTCTAGTCATAAGGGGCAGGATTATATGGGGTCCTTATCATTGGAATATATTATTAGGGCCTCTTATCATCTAAATCCTACTCAGATTTATAATACACTTGTCACCTAGCAAATCACCACTGTCTGGGCCAAATTCTCCCCCATCCATCCAGGATCATAAAAATCCCTTAAAGAACTCTAAGATTTGGTACGTTGAAGCGGTATGTCAACAACCCTTGACAGTTGGAATTCGAAATAAGAGTAGGTCGTAGCGCAATCTGGTTAAAACACAGATCCTATTTCGTTTCGTTTTTATAGTTCAAAATTTCGTTTTACTTGTCTTTACTACATGTAGTGTAGGCCATCGAAAGTATAAAAAACGAAACGAAATATATGCCTGTATTTTGATTAGATTGGTCGTAGCGCTGATGTATGTGCAAAATGTCCCTCATAGCACACTGTATGCCCTTCTTCATTAGACCAGTCGGTGCAGAAAAGAAAACCGCTCAACTCCATTTCATTGTGTACGTTTTAAGGCGTATGATTGTCTATCCAGTACGTTTCCAATGACTGACTTTCTACATGTAGGTAAGTGGCCAAATTAGACCAGATATCGCAGTTGGCATAAATACATATTTATACATATACATATACATACGCAGATATACAGGGGAGACGTAAACAACTTCTCGTGGAGATTGGAAGTTTTTAAAACATAATATTAAGATATCTTTCTAAGTTATTAAATGTCTCAATTTTCTGAAATATTTCAGCCGAGTGGTCAGGCTCTAGAGGGACCAGTAAAAGACCGAACATGTCGCGATGTCTTATTTCTTATACTCTTCATCTGTTTTATTGGAGGCATGGTAAGTTCTACTTTCATTTTACACACCTTTGTAAGTTCTACTTTAATTTTACTTTCACTTCAAACTCATTGGTAAGATCTACTTTCATTTTTAACACCTTGGAGGCATAGTAAGTTCTACTTTCATATTAATCACCCATGGAGACATGGCAAGTTTCATCACCCTGGCGGCATGGTAAGTTCGATGATCCGGGTCTTCAGCCCACCCCAACCCCGCACAATCAGAATTAAGTATCTCTTCGTGCGCAAGAGATGTATTGAAATAAAAGTGCACTGAAATTATTATACCAATTTCTGTTGACTGAGAAAGTTCGTCAGGTTTTACCTTGGTAGTCGTTCTGGACGGAGGGTCTGGTTGTACCTTGTCAGTCGTACTGGACGGAGGGTCAGGATTTACCTTGCTAGTCGTTCTGGACGGAGGGTCTGGTGTTACCTTGCCAGTCGTTCTGGACGGAGGGTCTGGCTTTACCTTAACTGGACGGATATTTAGAAATCGAAATAGGAGTCCTGGTAAATCTTTGGCCTGTAGCCCTGGCAAAATTTTAGTTGTTCAGATAAGAAGAATAACCGAGATCCCATGTCGGAGCCGTAATGTATAAGTGTAGGCCCGCACAGTGCCACTGTCCGGGCAACATTTTTTGATAGTACCCTGCATGGTATATGCCTGTCTTCACTAGCGCAGCCAACACAGACTATTAGGACGTTAAACCCCATTTCATTTCATGCCCCCCCCCCCTTAGCTCACTACATGGCATTTTCCCGTGCAGAAAAGTAGGAAAAATCCCATTTCACACCTTTCTCTCCTGCTGTGTAAATTGCTAATTTGATTTTGTATTTCAGTGCTATGTATCCTATCTAGGGTTTATAACTGGTAATTTATTTTTATATTTCAGGGCTATGTATCCTATCTAGGGTTTATAGCTGGTAATCCTAATCGTTTTATCTATGGTACAGATAGCTGGGGTAATGTTTGTAATCAATATAATGATAAAATACCAGGTTCCAACCTCTCCGGACAAGATATGGGACAGCGACCGTAAGTATAATACAAATATACAGTTATTTTTGTGTTTCCATGGAAATATATTTGACTTAGTTTTGGTACACAGTTTGTATATCGAAGGATACCTCATACACTGTTGAAGATATCTTTATGATACTTTTCTACTCAGAAAAATAGGATTTATAGTCCACCCGACACAAACTCTGGACTAACACATGGTTCAGTATTATTGCAATAGTTCGCTTGCGTGTAGGGGTCGTTAGAGGTGAGAGGAAACCGGAGGACCCGGAGAAAAGCTACGAGGTTGGACAGGGGAAACCTACTCCTTGTCGGGTACAAGCTGGGAATGGAAACCACACCACTGACGTACCGTATAATCTAACGAGAAGCGTAACACCATTTACCCCCCCCCCCTACCCGCCGTAACCCCATTCACTCATCCTCCCCGCGTAACCCCATTCACCCCTCCTCCTCCGTTTTACCAATAAAGATTGGATAAACTTGTGCCCACTTGTCAGCGGTAATATTGATAGGATTGACTTGCATGTAATAACCCCCCCCCCCCCACACACACACACACACACACCTTGAGCAGTTGTAATTTGAACCACAGCTCACATAATATGCCACCATGCCACCTCCCTTCTCTTGCAAACCAACAGGACATTTTTTTTATACTGCGAGTTTATTATATATTCGTTTTGAAGTCAATAAATCTAGTTGGGTCAGATATTTCTAACAATTTAAACTCATAGTTACCTATAATTTATTTTCAGGGTTGTATTTTATTATGATAAAGATTTTCTAAAAGATATATCATCTGGTAATTACTTGACGTCATCATCTGTATCAGTCTGTGTATCAAGATGTCCGAACTCTACTCTTACTACTGTTAATGATTTACAAGATTTTGCTACAAGTTTTAATTCTAGACTATGTCGATATGACGTGGAGGTCAGTCAGTATTATTCTGGTGACGTCAATGGTACTGGAAGCTGTCCACCTCTACCCGTTGAAGAGACGTAAGTCGTCATTTCACTAACCAAGAGGTCCCGGGTTCGAACTCATATCTTCTTAGCATCAGGAGGTTCTGGGTTCGAACCCGTGTCTTCTAATCACCTGGAGGTCACAGACTCGAACTTGTGTCGCCTTATCACTGGCGCAGTGAGGTTCGGGGTTCGATACCTTTACCATTGTTGTTCGAGGAAGGTCCTCGGGATTTCCGAGTGAGGTTTCCTTTTATCAGCGGTGAAGGACGGACCGGGAAACCACAAGCGTCTAGTCATTCGGATGGGACAAAAATCGAGATCCCATGTACACATTGGTGTGCACGTAAAACATACTCTTGGTAGTTTAAGAGTCCAGGGGAGGAACGGTCTAAGTCACATTTTTGTCTTTTCGCATAAAAGGCAAAACAGACTTTTGGACGAGAATGCGTGACGCGAACAGAACAACGAGTGGGTTTAATTGGAACTTCAATATGATGTTTAATACGAATCATAATTACCAGTACAACAACTGACTTCCACTTTTTAGCCAAATTTAGGTCAAATAAAGGGTACGACGGATGTATGTGTCTGGGAGGCCATTTCAGAAGGGCCTTGGTTCGATGTGACTCCGATCGTTTTTACCTGAAATTGATTGTTCCATAGAAAGCTTATACAATTTGCTACCAGATGGCGCCATTAACTGGGGTTCATTGAAAAAATGACTTGGATCGTTCTCCCCCTGTGCTTTAAGAAACTTTTGGTATCCGAGGATCTTTTTATTTTGTGTTTTTAACAATTTTCAAGTGTAAATAATTTAATTAAATCAACCTGTCCATAATATCATATTCATTGTATTGGAAGTTAAATCTTTAATAAACAACAACAACAACGTTCTTCCCCCCAGTTCTTCAGTTGGAATTAAAAATAAGAACAGGTCGTAATACCCCGTTCCGAGCAAAATGTCCATGTCACACTTTATAGAGTATGCCGGTCTTCATTAGCCTAGAAGTAGGAGGTTAAAATCTATTTTATTATTATATCTGACTATGATTGTCTCTCCCTAGAACTGAGATATTCCACCGATGTATACCAACTAGTTTAACATCGATATTCAACCAGTTTGGTGAAGTTATCAGCAGTGTGCTCAATCTGATTGATGAAGATTTTACTGAAGTAAGCAAAATTTTATCTGTCGATATCTTGTTCAATTTTAAAGGGAGTCACGATGACTTAAGTGGGTAAGAAGCTGACTCGCTAGTCTGGAGGTCGCGGTTTCGCTCTCGGTGTTGGCCCAGAACGTTCAACGGGATTTCCCGGTGTGGTTTCAGTAGTGCAGGACGGAGGGCCTGACAAGGACAGCTGTCTAGTTGTTCGGATAGGACGAAAAACCGAGGTCCCGTGTACACATTTACGTGCACGTAACAGATCCCCTGGCAGTTGCAATTCGATATAAGAGTAGGCCTTAGCGTCGCTGTCAGGACCAAATTTCCCTCATAGCACACTGTATGGCGTATGCCCGTCTTCATTAGCCCAGTTTGGAGCAGAACAGTAAGACGTTAGACCTGATTTCATTTGGTTTAAACAATATTTTTTTCAATATAATCATACAATCGTACAGTCTAAAGGACACAAAAACAAGCAGCATGCTTATGAATATTACTTCCTGACATGGTTATTTTTAATCAATGAAAGCGAGATTACATTTAATGAGCAGTAGGTTGAAGATTTATGCTAAATAAATACAAAAAACTATAACAATAAAAAGTGAAAGTGAGTTGTCGATCATCAATAAAGGGGATGAATAGTTTTAAAACAATTGGTTGGGGTAAATCGGTTAGCCCAGGTCAAAAGCGACTGGTTAATCTTGACACCATCAGAGCACACCGCGTTGCGTATGCGAGATTAAACAGCATTTTATTTTTTCTCGTTTAGACTGATTCATTTTAACTTTTGATTTCAGAAATCCTACTCTGACTTGCAGAAGACATGGAAGGACATTTTATATCTTACTTCATTTGCTTTAGGTTTGTTTCATATTCTTCTATTGGTGTTATAGCATGGGGGTACATGACATGGTCTATTAATACATGACACGATCTATAAATACATGACATGGTCTATAAATACATGACAAGGTCTATAAATACATGACACGATCTATAAATACATGACAGGGTCTATAAATACATGAAAAAGTCTATAATTACATGACAAGGTCTATAAATACATGAAAAGGTCTATAAATACATGACAAGGTCTATAAATACATGACAGGGTCTATAAATACATGACAAGGTCTATAAATACATATTTGATTTGATTTGATCCTCTGATAAACTATCACCTGGTAATCGTCCATATGTGACAGCCTGGACGAAGAATTACAAATAGGCGTACATTGGGGTGGCCTCCGATAAACAGGAAATAAAAAGACCTTAGACGCTTAGTAGTCCCTTTATCATCGATTGGAACTGATCTATCAGAATTTCTTTATATGGAGTCTGAAAGGTACAGAAATTCAAGGAAACACGTGTACAGATTAGCGTGCATGTAAAAGGAACTTGACTGTTTTAATTCGACATTTAGAACGTTGAGATGCCGCTGTCCTCCTCGGTGTTACAGACATGAGCATAGAAAAACAAATCGTCTGTTAGTCCCAAAATAACTGAAGTTGACAAGTTGACGGGACGTTAAACCCCATTCCTATTCTCTAAATTCAAATTTGATTTGGTTATTTCAGTTTATATATTGTTATTACAGCTGTATCCGTGGTTATTATTATCTTGTTATTACAGCTTTATCCGTGGTTATTATTATCTTGTTATTACAGCTTTATCTGTGGTTATTATTATCTTGTTATTACAGCTTTATCTGTGGTTATTATTATCTTGTTATTGTAGCTGTATCTGTGGTTATTATTATCTTGTTATTACAGCTTTATCTGTGGTTATTATCATCTTGTTGAGGTTTTTTGCCGGTGTATTAGTGTGGTCGATGGTGATTATTGTGGTTCTAGCAACTTTAGCTGGTACAGGATTCTGCTGGTTAGTGACGATGTTAAATATAACTTCTAAACAAATCAAACATATCAAATGTCGAATGTCGGTTAATTCTAACATCTAAACAAATCAAACATATCAAATGTCGAATGTCGGTTAATTCTAACATCTAAACAAATCAAACATATCGAATGTCGGTTAAACCTAACATCTAAACAAGTCAAGCATATCAAAAATGTCGAATGTCGGTTAATTCTAACGTCTAAACAAGTCAAACATATCAAATGTCGAATGTCGGTTAATTCTAACATCTACAAGTCAAAAATATGAAATGTGGAGCAGGTCTATAGATTATTCATCCTCGTGATTTATTGACTAGAAGAAGGCTTTTATATGTTATTGTAAGTCAACGACATTTTTCAGTTTTAAAAAATATTATCTCGAACAAATGTGTATCTGAAACATTGATACGCATATTTAACCGTACTTTAGAGATTTAGTTATTACCATTCACCAACGCATATCGGATGTACACTCTTGGGCATATCAATTCTGGAAGTATTGGTTAATACTATCACCTCATTATGAATGAATGAACGAATGAATGCATGAACGAATGAATGAATGAATGAATGAACGAATGAACGAATGAACGAACGAATGAATGAATGAATGAATGAATGAAATGAATGAAATGTCTGCATCAACCAGGTTAATGAAGACGGGTCACATGACTTGAATTTAATTTACTTTAAATTGTGTGTGTTTGGGGGGTGGGAGCGAGGTCCAGCAATTGAAGCACTGACTTACTACCAGGAGATCTTGGTTTCGATCCAGGTATTGGTCGAGAGACTTCTTCCTGATTTTTCCTTGTTAGTTGTACAGGGTGGAGAACTGGCAAAAGCCAGCAGCTAATCGATCGGATGGGATGAAAACGCAAGGTCTCGTGTGCCCGTTAATGTGCACGTAATAGAGGGCGGAAATGCATTGGGTATGCTCGATTTTATGAGTCTGCTGGTGCTAAAAAGTAAGACGTTTAAGTTCCGTTTCTTTTAACCCCAAACAAATGATTTTAATTTAATTTTAAAGGTATAGTTATTATCTGAAGTTAACCCAGAATTGGTTGATTGGTTCGATAGTAGCCACTGTTGTTTGTGTAAGTATTTACTTATTTTTTTATTTTATTTTGCTTTGTATTACTATATTCTTACGGTTTACGGTTTATTGCATTTTTCTCTTAAATGAAATGAGGTTTACGGTCCTACGTTTATGCACATACTAGGCTAAATACTTGCTCCAAATAAGGCCTATCTAGTTCCTACGTCACTGCGCTATTTTGAAAAGGAGTGACGTAGGTGCCAGTTTGACGTATTATAACAGATTGCCCGGTCTATAACATTGGCTTATAAAACGATATATACAGTTATAATTGAAGGCTGGTTTATTAAACATGGCGTTTTATTGAACACAGCATGTATTCAGTGTGTTACTTCATGACCTCAACCCCAATCAAACGCACCAAGTGACTTGCCACTTTCCATATCATACACCATCAAATTATCTTTTGCAACAAATTCCGATGGAAGATTACAAATTGCACGACGTCATAGCATGGTAGTATTCAGAGTTTGATGATACTATACAAGTTTTCGTATGTTGATTGTGTTTCTCATATTACTTGTTACAGTTGATTGTGTTACTGATATCACTTGTTATTCTACAGTTGATTGTGCTACTGGTATGACTTGTTATAGTTGATTGTGTTACTGATATTACTTGTTATTCTGAAGTCAATTGCGTTACTGATATTGCTTGTTATAGTTGATTTTGTTACATATATTACTTGTTATTTTTCAGTTAATTGTTCTGCTAATATTACTTGTTATGAGGAAAAGAATAGCGTTAGTAAGTATAAATAGCTTTACTCTTAATCATTATACCACATTTTCGATCATCACTGGATTACACATTGACTCGGAGCTATTAAGTTTTTGATTTACTTTTCGGAAGCAATCTACAAGAGTAAACACGCGGGTTCTACAAGAGTGTGCCTTTGTTCGAAAATGACGTGTAGAGTTGGTCACCTTTTACAATACTTTAGGCTCTACTGACAAAAATACCGCTTCAAAATACCACCCCTATCTCTGATTAGTCAAGCCGATTTATCCGTTAGTTGTTTTTTTAAATTATTTATGAAATTATTTAATTATATGATGTGTAGAATGTACATATTTGTTACATATCTTTCCTTTTCGGTCGCTGTACTTTGGGCGCTATTGACAAAAGAAACGGTTTTGTTTTTGTTTTTGAAATTGTGTATTTGGTTTTAATTCCAGGCCGTACAGTTATTTAAGGAAGCTGGGAAAGCAGTAGGAAGAATGCCGGTTTTACTCCTTCAGCCATTTCTCGTAAGGTCATTTTTTATACGTCAGTCGATATTATTGACTTGTATCTTCGGCATCTGCCTTTAACATCATCACCTGTGCTTTTGTACGTCATAAAATTTGTTATCATCGTACTACTGTCAACTATCGTAATTCTTAATTTGCTTCTTATGTCACAACTGTTTGTTCCACTTTATTTTTTAAAAAAAAATACAAATTAATCGCCATCGTTTTAAATTGCAGACATTAACTGTACGCGGTGGTGCCGCTGCTGGATTGGTCTATCTGTTCTTGTATTTAGTTACAGCAAGTAAGTTCTGATATTTATTTAAAAAACACCATCGTCGCTGGTAACGGTATACACGGGGCCTCGATTTGGTGTTCCATCCAAAGGATTGGACGCTATTCCTTGTCCAGTTCCCCGTCCTGCAACCCCGACAAAAAGAAACTACGCTGCAAAATCACGATAAACTATCTAAGCTATCACCAGAACGGAACCTCGCAATAGTGACCTAGTGTCAATATAATCAAGAAACCGTGAATCTAACCCGTGTATTATATATTACACTCGAACCAGGTTATTTTGTAGGTACCATATAGATCTTCTATAATTCAAGAAGTCGCTGACAGAAGGGCTGTTTATCAGTGGAAGAAAGGGGCTGGAAACCTGATCTGATATGTTATACTTGCCCCTTACGCCTCTCCTTGTCCATTACGCCACTCCTGTTTTGCATTTGGATATCGACGTGGCGTGGGAACATGTCTGACGTCATTTAGAGCAGGTTGTCTAAGCCCATGCAATGGCAGCTAGAAATCCTTAGAGTTTAATCAATAAGATATTGATAAATGATCTTTGGATGGTAGCGCGACGCTTTAGACCACTTAACCAACATCGTAATTTGGTCATTTTGAGACAAAAGAATGATCATTTTATTTCTGTTGTTACTTGTACAATGCGACGTGTGTGAACTCTGCCAGAACAGCGACCTTTTAACCTTCCCGCTTATAGTCCACATTGATTACCTGTACATGCACGCCAATGTGTACACGAATGAGCCCCGGTCTTGGTCCCGGGTGCTAATTAAAAATTCCAGCGATTGAACTCTGGCCACGTATGAATCGTAACCCGGGACATTTTGGTCGACAGCCGATTACCTCGCCTTGCACAATCACCAAGGTTCTTCTCCATCCACGCCAGAATTCGTATCCGACACATTCTAGCTGAGAACTCATTGCCTTAACAGTACCACTGCGAAAAATCGAGATCCCGTGTACACATTGGCGTGCACGTAAAAGGTCCCTTGGCAATTGAAATTCGGTACAAGATTAGACCACAGCGCCGCTGTCCAGACAAAATTTCCCTCGTAGTACACTTATTGGCGTTAAACCCCATTTGATGTTATTTCATTTCATTTATCTAAAAATTATTTGTTTTTCAGAAATCATTAGTGTTGATGACAGCAATGGTCACGTGACCTTCAACGACGACCCTAAAATGAATGTAGGGAAACAATTATTATCGTAATACATATTTAATGATCGGCTTTAAATTTGAAGGCTGTTCATGGTTGATATGCACGGCTCTCTTGTAGTGATATTGTGGTGGTATTGGGTAGTATTGGGTAGTATTGGGTAAATCGTCCCATCCGATATGCACGATTCTCGTGTAGTGATATTGTGGTGGTATTGGGTAGTATTGGGTAGTATTGGGTAAATCGTCTCACCCGATAAGCACGGTTCACTTATTTCAATCAATGAATTAATGCAGAGATAGTTTCATTATTCATTGCAAAACAGGAATTTCATCATGGTTGATATTAATACATTGTTCTCGTGTTAAAATCAATGATTTAATGCCTTAAAATATACATGGCGTATTTGTTAAGCGGAAGGGCATGTTATTGGATAGCAGCAGAAATGTTTTATGTGTATTATTATATCTCGAAGATTACATTGTTCATCCTGGGTCGATTTCTAGTATTTGTGTGTTTTACATTTTTACAGTATCTAATGGCTTATTATGTGTTGGGGTTTCTATGGATTATGGAGTTTATTGTTGGCTGTGAAAGAATGTTGATATCTGGTGCTGTAGTTCGATGGTATTTCACACGGTAGATCATAGTCTAGTTTTATCCCAATAAATATTTTAACAATTTTTATGGATACACAATTCATTTGCTTGATAAAGACGACAGTATCCTCGTCGAGACGTTGCTTAGTATTAAACTCAGTAATTGTGTGTCCATAAAAATTGTACCTTGTGTTAATATGTTCAATTACTAAATGCCATTCAAAGAAAATATTTTGTCCTTGGTAGCAAGTCGTTGTATTTGTTTGTTTATATTGCTGTACACTAACGTCAAGTAAATGGTGTCATGATAGAAAACATCTAATGACAAACTAATTTAATTTCGTGTTTTGCGGGGTCTTGACACACAAATAACAATTCTGGTGTATGATATTTTATTTAATATTCTAAGACTTAGAAATTTAGAACTAAAAGGTTTTGAGAACAACCAAGTACACTTTTTTAATTGTTTTTCTGAAGGAAGCAAAATTTTAACAGGGTTTCTCCAAAAAACAAAATTCAGATATTTTTTGTTTTTAAAGCCAAGTAAACATGCATAAGATCCACTTTGGTTTTTATTTTAGTAAATGTATCATTTACTAAAGGCAGCCTGGGTATTGAAAATCTGTGTAATATTTTTCAGGAATAAAGATGACCTGAATTGGCCAATTTCTAAATCATATAAAACTATGATAAGGTATGATCAGTTTTATTATCATGATACCTACCTAGATATAGGATTATATATACTTAAAACCAAGCAAATTCAGACTTTAATCTGTTTGACTATCCCAAACAGGTGCGCGGAGTAATGGAAACAGGTTTTTAATGTTAATCTCGATAAAACTGCCATGTAATAATACATCTAAGCAGGACCTGGTAATTCAATCGTAGTTAGAAACGTTACTGGTATTTATACACGACCTGGATATTCAATCATAGATAGACCTGGATATTCAGTCATAGTTAGACCTGGATATTCAATCATAGATAGACCTGGATATTTAGTCACACACGTAGTTAGACCTAGACATTCAGTCATAGTTAGACCTGGGTAGACCTGGATATTCAATCGCATATAGAAAAGTTACTGGTATTTTTAGATGGAGACCTGTGGCATATCCAGATTGCTTGTATGTGTCTCAACTCGCCTGTCAAGACTAGACCAAACCCGGTAGAATAATTGCTTGCTTTGGGGACTTTTGTTACACCGTCCGTGTATTTATCTTTCAGGTATCATCTTGGTTCAATAGCTCTGGGTTCATTATTAATAGCTCTAGTACAGTTTGTTAGGTTAATAGTGGCATTTATTGACGGCAGGTGAGATATTTTTTTTCAAGTTTATTTTAATTGTAGAAATATCAATTTACCTCATATTTTAGGGACAATGTAAATCATTTCCTTTTTCAGTTACTGTTACTATTACAGTGTATATTTCACTCCCCCTTATTGTGGCGGCTATAAAATCTTTTGAAAATTTGAGAAAATAAAAAACTAAACTTGTATCCAATTTCCATTCTAATCTTCATCCTCTTGAAGCGTTCAAAATGATATTTTAATTTATGTAACAATGTGCTAGAAAAGCTTTTTAAGGAATGCCCAAATTATTTCTAGTTACCTAATTAACTGTAACATACATTATGCCCAGTGCACCACACGCCCCCCAGGGCCTACTTGCATATTCAAAATTTTACACATCGGCTTACACGTAACAGAACCCGTGACGGCTGGAATTCGAAATAGCATACTGTATGGCGCATGTCCGTCTTTATTAGTCCAGTAGGTGTAGAACAGTGGGACGTTAAACTCCCATTTCATATTTGTTAAATTTTTCAGATTGAGAGGAAAAGAAAATCCCATTGCCCAGGTATTGCTAAAAATGTTAAGCTGCTGTTTATGGTGTTTTGAAAAGTTTTTGAAATTTCTGAATGCCAACGCCTACATCGAAATCGGTAAATATTGTTTCTACAAGCAAACACGCCGTCATTTAGTTTCTTTTTTTCCGAAAGTCCCGCGTGCACGAAAGAGAGTCCGTGACATTTGAAATTTGAGATAGGAGTTGACAGTAGTGCTGCTGACCTGGGCCCTGTTTCTCGAAATCTTAACTTAAGATAAAATCCAAATTGTATTAGATACTTCAATTTAAAATTTCGCCCCAGGCATAATATCCGCCATAGCACATTGTATAGCATATGCCCGTCATCTTTAGCCCAGTTGAAGCAGAAGCCCTTTTCATTCATTCGTTTCTTTTTGTAGTTTATATTCAGAAAAACAAAAGTTTTAAGAAGATTTAATTGAATGTCATTGCTACCCATTTCAACCAGGGAGTCGCGTTGGCTTAGTCAGTAAGGCGCTACAGCCATTTTGTAGCCCATTGTATAAAGTTTAATTCATCAACATTTGAACAAAACAAATATCATAATGAGTGACTGCAGTGAATACGTTATTCACAGTGGATAAATGTATGCGAAAATGATTTTATAAATAAACCGAATATTAATGAACCAAAATGTGATTTAAAAAGATCATTTTATGACATTTTATATTCCATCTTTAGCTATTCATGGATACAGTTTCTGTAAAGCCGCCAAATCTGCCATGTCGGTCATCATTAAAAATGTTCTCCGGGTAGCTGCTGTTAATTGTGTCGGGGATTTTCTTCTCTTTCTGGGAAAAGCTGGAACCGTTGCCATAGTAGCAGTTGTTGGTATTGAAATGTTTAGGGTATGTCAATCTTATTTTGTCAACTATTTTACATATTATGACATCAAAGTCAAGAAAAAAACGTAATACAATTTAATCGTTTATCCCCGCAGTTAGCAGTCGTTGTATGAAAATCAAAGTTTCTCGCGGTTTTAAGAGTTATAGCCAAACCTTAAGAAACTGCCCAACCCGCAAATGGAATGTGTAATTGTTTTTATCTGAGCGATGGATGGGCATAAATTGAGTCTGTTCCGAGGGTAATCTAATTTAAAAGTCGATAGTCGAACGGTGTAAAAAAAATCTGTTTATCTAAGCTGTGAAGAACCACGCACAACCGGTGTCTCTTTAAAGCGATAATTTCATATTTTCTAAGAAAGTCAAAACATAATTATTTCTATGTATTTTGCTCAATAGATTATCAACTCACTATTATACGACCATGGACATTATTTCCCACCCTTAAAAATGATTGACACAGGAAATAATAACACAATTACCTCCCTTGTTTTCCTATTGCCTCCATGCATTAGCTACCTTCAAACGTTGGAATTTAAAGTTGAAAATGATATTTTTGCCAATCTCACAGCTGGCAATAGTGACTTATAGGATTAATAGGATTATTCTTTAACAAGATAGGACGGTTTATGGATACCATCTATTTTAAGGCTTTATTTTAATAAATTTTAAAAATATAACTTAAAAATATGAAATTGCAACTTTAAAGTAGAGTAATAATGTGTTGATGATTATATTCAAGTACAATTTAATGGCGTTTTTGTGTTTTATTTGCAGGATCGTGTAGATATTAATTACGTATGGTTACCTATCACAGTGGCTTGTATAATATCGTATTTACTCAGTAGCTGTTTCCTCTCCGTATATGAGGTGAGTCAGGTTTTTAAATGTTACGCCCTGAAAAACTGGTGGGTGCAGTACTCGTATGTATTCCAAATGGTGCTAAATCAAAAAAGACATTTTACCGGCGAACATGCAGACGATTTCGAGTTTTGGCCCGCTGTTGGTCGAGCAAATTCCTTGGGAGTTTCCGCTGGTTTTTTTTTCTTTTCTCATGTCAGTGGTGCAGGACGAAAAAAACCGAGGTCCCGTGTACACGCTGGCGTAAACGTAAAGAGCACTTGGCACTTGGCAGTTGTAATTCGATAAAAGAGTAGGCCATAGTGCCGCTGTCCGAGTAAAATTTCCAATATAGCATAGTGTATACCTGCCTTTATTAGCCAGTCAGTGCAGAAAATTAGAATGTTAAACACCATGTCATTTGATTTCCGGCGAACCTGCACTTGATGATGCTACACGGATTGTAAATTACTCAATTAATACACCAGTACTTTGCTTTATCATGGCGTGTTTTCAGTCTTATCATGACGTGTTCTCCATCTTATCATGACGTGTTGTCCATTTTATCATGACGTGTTTTCTATCTTATCATGACGTGTTTTCTATCTTATCATGACGTGTTCTCTATCTTATCATGACGTGTTCTCCATCTTATCATGGCGTGTTCTCCATCTTATCATGACGTGTTCTCCGTCTTATCATGACGTGTTCTCAGTCCTATCATGATGTGTTCTCCATCTTATCATGACGTGTTCTCCGTCTTATCATGACGTGTTCTCTATCTTATCATAACGTGTTCTCTATCTTATCATGACGTGTTCTCCATCTTATCATGACGTGTTCTCCGTCTTATCATGACGTGTTCTCAGTCCTATCATGACGTGTTCTCCGTCTTATCATGACGTGTTCTCTATCTTATCATAACGTGTTCTCTATCTTATCATGACGTGTTCTCCGTCTTATCATGACGTGTTCTCAGTCCTATCATGACGTGTTCTCCATCTTATCATGAATTGTTCCCCGTCTTATCATGACGTGTTCTCTATCTTATCATGACGTGTTCTCTATCTTATCATGACGTGTTCTCCATCTTATCATGACGTGTTCTCTATCTTATCATAACGTGTTCTCTATCTTATCATGACGTGTTCTCCGTCTTATCATGACGTGTTCTCAGTCCTATCATGACGTGTTCTCCATCTTATCATGAATTGTTCCCCGTCTTATCATAACGTGTTCTCTATCTTATCATGACGTGTTCTCCATCTTATCATGACGTGTTCTCCGTCTTATCATGACGTGTTCTCAGTCTTATCATGACGTGTTCTCCATCTTATCATGACGTGTTGTCCATCTTATCATGACGTGTTCTCTATCTTATCATGACGTGTTCTCTATCTTATCATGACGTGTTCTCCATCTTATCATGACGTGTTTTCCATCTTATCATGACATGTTGTTCGTCTTATCATGACGTGTTCTCCATCTTATCATGACGTGTTTTCCATCTTATCATGACGTGTTCTCCATCTTATCATGACGTGTTCTCCATCTTATCATGACGCATTTTCCATCTTATGACGTGTTTTCCATCTTATCCTTCAGATGACCATTGATGCAATATTTATTTGCTTTGTTGAAGACTGTGATATGAATGATGGCGATAAAAATCCATATTTTATGAGTAAATCGTTAATGGTAAGATTTATTATACAAATTTGACAACGAACCTTTACAATGGAAAAAAATAAATGTTTCATTATATACAAATAAGTAAAGGTTTTTAGGATTTTGTATGAGCCACAAGATATTGGACTTAAATATAATGAATTGTTTCTAAACAAAATCACAAGAGAGAGAGAGAGAGAGAGAGAGAGAGAGAGAGAGAGAGAGATAGGGGGTTTAGTGTCCACTCGACGCATTAGGTATCCGAACAGGGAGAGAGAGGGACAAAGAGAAATATGGTTCCATTTTATTTCAATAATACGCTTGCGCGTAGGGGTCTTTAGCAGTGGGGGGAAACCGGAGGACCGAAGAAAACCCACGAGGTTAGACAGGCGACCCTACTCCGTGTCACGTACAACCGGGGAATTGAAACAACGCCAGTTGACAGACCTTATGATACAGCGCGCTCGTGCTACCCCCAGATCAGTAAGACATTAAACATCATTCCATCCGAATCTTGTATATTATACACACAGATAAACCGACATTGTGGTGTTCTACATGTTTTTGTTTTTTATCTCTAGAAATATGTGAATGGAGGAAAACTGGTGGACAGTAAAGAAGGCAAAGAGAAGTTTTGATTTGATAGAATTTGTGATAAAACCCAAATGTGTGATATATATTTATATTTATCTCTCGAGATGTTGAGTGCTGTTGTGTTCTGAAATATGAGTATTATAAAATTGTAATTTAACAATATTTCACACCCCCTGAAGTATCTGGTACTATTACTTTATAACTGACGTCCAAACGAATCTACACCAAGACCGAACAAAAACAATAACAGGCTGCATATCAAAAACACACCCCCGGTTGGACAAGCGACCTCACTCCTTGTCACGTACAAGCGGGGAATATAAACCACGCCACTCAATCTGCTTAAAATAAATATCTATATTTCTTCTCGTTTTTCTATACGTTCGTTGGCCTGCACTACTGTAGTGAACACAAATAAAACGATATTTTTAACTACATTTGTATAGATTTTAGTTTTTAGCCAACGAAAGGAGTGCATTCTTAAAACATTTTAAAATAGTATTCGCGAATAAGTACCCGAACGTGGGCCGATATAAACACGCGAATTATTATGGTTCAATAACCCACATAATTAGCTGTTGTTTCTTTTGAACGTCAGTCAGTATGTTTACGGTTTATATTTGTTATCTAAGAAGTTGCGATATTTTTTTCTCTGTGTTTTGTTGTAAATGTTGCTTCTTTCCGAATTGATAAGTTTATTAAACAGATTGGTCATAGCCCTGATGTGTCTGTGACCCTAAAGTTGCACCTATCCTTATATAAATGTATGTTATCAGGCTTGGAAATAACGGTTTTAGATCTACCTGACAAAATGTCAGGCACTTCTGCAATAGTACCTGATATTTTCAACTTAATACCGGACATGTATTAATAATATCAATAAAAAAGACAAATCAGTGCCAGACAAAATGACAGGCACCAGAGGTTTAGTGCTGGACAAATTGATAGGCACCAAATGTTTAGTGCCTGACAAAGCTTGAATCTGTGTCTGGCATTGTCTGTGACAGGTGTCATATTTCCAGGCTTGTATGTTTTGTATTTTGTTATGATATGCGATTTGTTGTGAGATATGATGTTGTTATCAGTATTTTTTCATCGATTCCTTCCACATTACAATCAAAATCATGGAAACTATATATACATTTAGAATTTCAACAAGCAAGATAACAAAGAGCCAGGAGAAATTATTGCCCTAACGCTGCCACACTAACGAGCAGGTTTCAGGTTCGCTCCCGGTGATGGATGAGAAATTTTCTCAATCTTTATCCCCGAGTGGTTTCCCCTTGTCAGTTCCGCCCAAATATAACGTCAAATCCCTTTTCATTTTTGTGTGGCTTGTTGCGGAGATAAGTATTTTATTTGACCAATGTGACATGGTTTGAAAGCAGTTGAAAGAGTGGAATCAGGATTCCGTCCATATATAAATTATTATTATTAAATTAAAAATTATTTTAGTAATTATTATATAAAGTTAACATGAATATTTGTAGAGACCAAAGATCGAACCAAGGCCACATTAATTTGATTTTCTGTTCTTCGTCAATCTGATTACAACACAGATCTATATTTCGTTTCGTTTTTTTTATACTTTCGATGGCCTACACTACATGAAGATCTGAACGGTTGTAGCAAAATGTCCCTATGGCGTCAGACATTTGAATAACTAATCAGCATTGATGTTACTAGTGGAGTTACCCACAGTTCCGTGCAAAACACGCCTAAAGCTCGCAGTAACAGACCGTTTCATTGGATAATCCCTCACACCATTCAGAACACGTCAATGATAACAACTCTTCTAGATCTTAGTGTAGTAAAGACAAGTAAAACGAAATTTTGAACTATAAAAAACGAAGCGAAACAGGATCTGTGTTTTAATCAGATTGATGGCGCGATATATAACGTGGGTTATATAACAACTCTTCTAGGCCCTAGTGTAGTAAAGACAAGTAAAACGAAATTTTGAACTATAAAAAACGAAACGATACAGGATCTGTGTTTTAACCAGATTGATAATTCACAGTCTTGATAAATGCGTAATAGCAGCTTGAATCACGTGACAGATGTTTAGTTTAAAATTTCAAAACTTGAAGATGCGTTATATAAGATTAGATAAAGAGTTGACAGTTCTCGTTTTAATAGTTAAAGCATAGATAATTAAAAGGGAATATCTTGAAAATTACTTTATTCTGAGCGCAGTTAGGGCTGTTTTGATAATAGCGGAGTCTCGATTGCCATGGCTACCGTTGTTACGATAGTAAACAAAGTCTCGATTATCTATTTTTTAATTAAATCATTAACCGCCAATCATGGTTAAATCCGTTGAAAGTCTCAAACATTCGATGGCATCGAGAGTTGATTACGGTCTTGACAAGTTAATGAATGTCGAATTAATAGTTTATATAACATTTCAGGCCCACAGAAAGACATGCAATAGACAGATTTAAGATTTAGCTCTTGGATAATGCATCTATAAACATTTGGGTTGAATCATGTGAAAGTTGTTTTGTTTAAAATTTCAAAACTTAAAACTTCGGAACTAAAAACCTTTGAAAATCCCGGGAAGACCTGAAAATTAAACTCTAAATTGGTTTGGCCTTAGTTCTTTTTATTGGACCTCTTTCATTATTATTGGAGCCAAGTTCTATAAATATAAATAAACTAGTCCAATTTTATTGGCGCCAAGTTCTATAAATATAAATAAACTATATGCAATTGTTAGTTTTAGTTCTTCAATTATCACTGTTGAAATTTTTAGTTTGGTGGGTGGAATAGCTGAGAGAGGGAGAGAGAAATGGGGTTTAACGTCCACTCGACACAAACTAGGTCATTTCGGGACTAACACATGGTTCAATTTTATTTAATTAATCCGCTTGGGCGTAGGGGTCTTTAGCAGTGGGAAGAAACCGGAGGACCCGGAGAAAACCGCAAACACTTTCTTCCACAATCTCTGTCGACTCTTTCTCTCCACACATCAAATATTGTTATACACACATTTATCCCCACTCTCTATCCGTTAACTTGCTCTCACTTTCTATCGACACACACCGCGGAAGTCTTTCATCGCACTTTGGGAGCCACGGTAGCTAAGCGGGTAAGGCGCTGGCTTGCTATCCCGGAGGTCGCGTGTTCAATCCCTGTATTGGCCGAGAAAGTTCATCCCGATTTTCCGGCGTGGTTTCCCCTTGTTAGTGGTGCAGGACGGAGAGCCTGACAAGTACAGCTGTCTAGTCGTTCGGATGGGACGAAAAACCGAGGTCCCGTGTATACATTGACGTGAACGTAAAGTATCCCTTGGCAGTTAGAATTCGATATGAGTAGGCATAGTGCCGCTGCCCGGGCAAAAAGTTCCTCATAGCACAATGTATATATATATACATATATATATATATATATAGAGAGAGAGAGATGGAGTTTATCGTCCACTCGACAAAAACTAGGTCATTTCGGTACTAACATATGATTTTTTAAAAAAATTATTTCAATAATTCGCTTGCGAGTAGGGGTATTTAGCAGTGGCGGGAAACTGGAGAACGGTAGCCTTGATTCACTAGAAATAAGAAAGGTTTAACGCCCACTCGACACAAACTAGGTCATTTCAGGACTAACATATGTTTATTTTTAAATTTTATTTGAGTAATGCGCTTGCGCGTAGGCTCTTTAGCAGTGAAAGGAAACCGGAGGACTCGGAGAAAACCCAAGAGGATGGACAGGCGACCCTCGCATTGTCACGTACAACCGGGGAAGTAAAACCGCCCCAGTTGACTCAATGACAGACCTTATAATACAACGCGAACTCGCTAATCATTCGCACCTCTCCACTCCCTAGTGTGAATATAAGTGCGCACATTGCACTGTTTTTAAAGATGGAATGCGTTATACAAAAAACATAATATGGAACACAATTACTATTTTATTTAAAGCGATGTTTCGTTGAGGGTTCTCTCAACGTTTTCAAGCCAGATTGTTACTTGCTTTGATATATTTACCTTCTAATTTACCAATTAAATTCACTGATTTCACTGCCTCATCTCCATATTGATGACGAATATCTTCTTTGAGCGGCATTTAGCAATTGACATACGTAATACAAAAAACATAATATGGAACAAAATTACTATTTTATTTAAAGCGACGTGGAGAAACCTCCAATCATTCCTACTTCGTAATCTGTTTTTTTTATGAACATCGAATTTGGAGACGCTGGTTCGTTATTAGTTATTCGATGAGTCACAAAAACAAAACATGTTATCAGAAAATCAAAACAATTATTGGGCTACGGTAAACTTATCTCTGGGATTCGTGCACGTAAAAGATCCCTTGACATTAGCGCTGCTGTTCGAGCAAAATGTCCCCCATACAAAATTGTATGGTGTATCATGACCTTCTTCATTAGCCCAGTCGGAGCAGAAAAGTAGGATGTTAAACCCCATTCCATTTCATGTATTTGTATTTCGTCAATCCTGAATGACAAGCTGGATACAGGAGAAGAAGAGGAAGGGCCCCATCCTCTGTTTCCATGCCAATGGTCTGAATTCCAAGTAAGGTGTTAGCTCAAGCCTTTATTCTCCCCATCATCCATGCCTCTACTGGTTTATTTTAGACATATCTCGATTCCCATTTTTTATGGTTCATAAAAAATCTGTAATACTATAAGGGTTATTTTAGTTCTATGAAAGGTGCTCTGTTTAAGGTTTTGAAGTCGTTAGCTAGTACAAGTCACAACAAGAACCGAGATAATGATATAGACCTTGTATATTAAGATCGGGCAATGACATCATAGACTGGAAATCCATATAGAGTAATCTCGTGCTTTAGAAACGCGAACATCCGTCCTCCTTGTTGCCCACATTAGTACATTGTATTTAAATCCGGGGTAGCTTCTGAGCAGCTGACCCGTCAGATAAAGGAAGTGTCTGACCAGATTCCCGAGGGTCAGTCCATGACTCATGCACGTATCCTCTTTATAAGAACGTGCGGGATTTAAGTTTCTTTAGACATCATGTGGGCTTCCTAGTCAGACATACCGTTAGCCGCCTCGGTTTACAGGCTGGGCGAGAACATCATGTAGAACCATCAAGAAGTGTGTGACTCTTGCCACCTTTGGGACTCTAAGGTATTTTCAGACATCATTTAGTATTCTCAGAAGGGCGTTCCTGGGGAAACGTCATACCCACAGCCTACTCGGCTTAGAGGCCAGGGTGAAGACACCATTCAGTGTTCCTAGTGAAGAAATCATTCAGACATCATAGAGCTGTCCTAGAGGGACGTTTAGGCACCTCGGCCTAGAGGCCAGGATACCGACATCATGCAGGGTTCTCAGAAGAAATAGAGACAACATGCAGTTTGCCTAGAGGAACATACCTTTATGTGAGAGAGAGTAATCTTAGCAAGACTATAATACTGCCCCTTTAAAAGCTGTCCTGCATTAGAAACCATAAATTGTTTTTGTTGTTAATTAAGCCATTACTCCAGTTTTAGTTTCATTTAGTTGTATCAGCGAATAATTCCATTAAATCCATTAAAACTAAGGAACTGGTGTCCTTTTTTACGAAATCATACAAGGCGCCAATGTTCCGCAAAGCTGCTAGCTAGACTTTAGTCGCCTCGGCTTAGGGACCGAGGGAGATCACCATGTAGACTTAGAAAGAAGAGCGTACCGCCGCAAAAATATTGTCGATCATTCCAGAATAACGCAGGTGAGTGCGGGAGAGGACTGCCCCGTGTACGTGCGGGATTGGCGAATAACATGGACGCCAACAAACTAATCAACACTCTGCTTGTTTGCTTGTTACTCCTCGATCGCGTATCCATACGGTCGGAAGTAGCGAGGAAGTTGTCGGTTGTAATGTAGGTGGGTCTGTTTTATTAGCGAATCCAAAATATGAAATAATAAAGCTTATGATAATAACGATAATATCAACATTTATATTGCGCAATATTCCACGTCACATTAGAAAATGCTTTTAACAAAAAACAACGCATCTAACACCTCAAACACACAAAACACTAATAAAAAATAAATATTTCTGAAACAGAAATGTTATCAGGTTTGATTTGAATGAAGTTAAGATTTGTTGGTTTTTAAGATGAAGAATGTAGTGTTTCATAAAATTGCTGCATATAAAGGACGTTTTCAGTTTGCATGTGGGTGTGACCAGGCGTAGGCATCTAGATGGGACATAGAGATGGCCCAAGTCCTAGACATACGGTGGAGCCGATAAATTAATTTATTGGTATGTTAGAGCAGTGGTTCTCAACCTTTTTTTGTTTCCCAATGGCACACCTTGTAACAAATGAAACAATAGCGGAACACCTGGTTAAATGTATATGTAAAATATTTGAATTTTGCAAAATAAAAACATGGCAAGTCATAGACGGCATACAACCGTTGACAGAGACTAGCCATAGACACATAAAATGACTCAAACTAAATAAAGAAAAACACAGCTATGAACTTACTTTATTGCAGTGTTTCGAATTGAAGTGCAGTCAAATAACTGGCTTCTTTTATGAGAATTTTTTTTTAGTGTGGCGTTCAAAGTTTCGCGGCACACTTAGGAAGATCTCGCGAACACTGTCAGACATCCGCGGTATCCCCAGTGGTCTAATTCCGTTCTACTCCGCTGACCTCTGGGTTCATCAATGTGGGGGGGGGACACGTTTTCAAGTTATCCGCCCTTGATGATGGTGCTATTTTTATCGACCAATCCCATAAATCGTTAATTGAAAAGGAATTTGCCAAAGGGAAGTAACTCTCATCGGTAAAGTAAGCAAAATGCAAAGGCTCCTTCTATATTTATTAACAACAAATTACAATTATTTTATAATATATTAATGAAGACCGGACAGGTGTTTTTATATATATATAGGCTCAAGAGTGTTATTGAGAATCAAATTGCCAAGTATGAGTACACTGGGGATACCGAGGATGTGTGTTAGAGATAGAAATGAATGAAGCGGAGTTTTATGGCTCGTCAGCTCCAACCGGGCTATATTGCGCTAAACATCCGATGACTTTAATGAGAAATGTATTTATTTTTAAATAAAAACAAATATCACAGAAAATATAATTGAAAATAAATATATCAAATCCGTTATATATTTGAATATTTAAAACGTAATACGTGAAAGTTTGTCTATTTTAAAAATGTTAGCTGATATGTTAAAGAGATAATCATCTCCAGCCAATGTAAACGAATATAACACGGGAGAAATGTGTGCATTCTGTTTTGTCTTTGAATTAATCCTCGCACTTTGATTCTTTATACGCCGGAAATCGATTTAAACATTTAGGTCACAGTGGTTCTCAACCCTTTTTTTTGCTAGCGGCACACCTTGGAACACATGTAAAAATAGCGGCACACACCACAAATATATATGAAAAATATTTGAATTTTGCAAAACAAAAACATGGCACGTCATAGACGGCATACAACCGTAGACACAGACTAGTCATAGACACATAGAATGACTGAAACTAAATAAAGAAAAACACAGCTATGAATTTACCAGTAGACACCAGTGAATACTCAATTGGGAGCACTTGATTATTCGCATTAGTAAGATCTCGCGGCACACAGGCGCGGCACACTGGTTGAGAATAGCGGCTGATTCATAACAAGGCAACTATTTATTTGTTTTGTTGTGGGTTTACTATGCAACAGATTGATTTCAGGAACTGTTTTGTTGATTCAACAATTGTAAGCTATAGTAATTTT